ATGTCTGGTAATGGTGCTATTATAAGAGTTTATTCCCTTGAGATGTAGGCTTTTCGGTACATGTTCAGAAAATCGGAGGTGTGCCCTTCTTTCTGTTCTTCCATTGTATGTATACATTTATTCTATTTTAACTTGAACTGCCTGTGTAAAAAAAACTATATAAGCGCAATTTTCTGAGCACTGTATACTAATTGTGGAACTTTCTGTCAACTGACAACATGTAAAATTTGCAAGTATGTTAAAACATTTGTCTGTACTTAAACCTCATAATTTATTTATGCTGTAAGTGGCAACTGAGCTGATGAGAAGTCGACGAAATAAACAATGATGCCACCATATTATTCTATACAAACCCCTGTGTTGTTCTTGCTTTTTGAAATGTCTTCTTCTAGACGTATAGATTCTTCTTGATCCGGTGGATTCCGATGGCTTCATTTGCACATAATAGAAGACTGTTATAAGAGAGAGTGTTAGCATTTTTGTTGGTTGTTGTAGTCGCCTTAGCTGACTAGAACTTGAGCCTGTAGTCACACCATTGAAGCCAAATGGTGACTTGAAATATTTCTTCCATACTGAAGTAGACACGCAGAAGTCAGATTCAACTGAGGCAAACTGCTACGACAACTTTTATTATTCCCACATAATACACAGTAAGTTATTCAAAACAAAAATAGTTGGCGCGAACTATTGTGGTTTCAATATAATCTTCTCTCTTCAGGCTGTACAATTATAAATCCACTAATTTAGGCATACCAGACAGTGGGAAACGAGAAGACAGGGATATCAGGGACCGACGCGAAGAACCTAGAAGACCTGGATTTCGCGCGTGGATTATTGATGTTTGATGTTACACAAAACAGAAGACTTACATGCGAAAACCGACCGACAAACTGGTCGAAGAAGCAGCCGGAGAAGACAGGACTCCATGTAAACATAGACAACACGGAGGTGATGAATATAGCCAACCAACCAACAACAACAATAGCAACAGCAACATCCAGCACCAATCACCATCAACGAACGGGAGGGATTTGAAAGAGGTTACTTCATTCACATTCACATCTAGGGAACATTGTCTCAACTACAGGAAGTCGGAACGGACGAGCGAGAATCAGTAAGGTGGGCGAGAAACACACACTTTCATCAACCAACTGAAACCAATCTGGATACCAATCTTCGTCACTCAGCCAGCCAGCCAGAATCAACAACAAAATTCAGTCGGATTTTCAATACAAGCAACGTCAAGTAGGTCAGTCAGTCAGTTCTTCTATACGGAAGGGATGAGAAACTTGGCGGGCGGGTGGGTCACAAAGAATATTTCCACCAACAGCCTGTTGCAGACGTTACCTTTATCAACCAAAAACTGTCTTCGCTGGCTCTGTACTGAAGATCAGATGGCTGAGCAGGAAATAATCACCAACAAGAAACTATGGTAACTATATTGAAAACAAGAACCAATTCTTACTGCAAATTTTCTTCTACTTTCTCCTCAGTTGCATTGATAAACGTCCTGGGTTCGAACCCCAGTGGGTGCGTACTGCGAAGAGTCCCAAACTAGGACGAAACAGCCGTCCAGTACTCCCAGGTTTTCAAATGGCTCTCTAACCAATGTCAGCTCCTGATGAATGGATTTATAATTGTAGAGTCTGAAGAAAGAAATGTGCATCGGTAACACAGCAGTTAGGATGCTCACCGACCGTTCACGTGGTCCGGGGTTCGATCCCCGGCCGACACACTGCTTTACGTCGCTAAGCCAGAAATAATTCTGGTAAAGAGGAAAAGTTGGGCCAGGTGAGGCTAGCAACCCCATCCGGTAAAATTAAACACTGCTACAGAAACTTCAAGCCACTAGCTTGGAGCCTTGTGTTCCACTGAGAACGTGAAGGAAATAAAAGAAGAGTCTGAAGATGGAAGAATTTATTCGAAACAAGAGTAAATCATTCTTTTAGGATCAATAGAAATTTAAACCGAAAATAATCAATATCTAATTGATTAAAATCAATTATGATTTTACAACTAACGAGATAATAGCCAGTCTATCCTAACAAAGATTTACTTGTAAGGCAGAATTAAGCCGCCTAGTCGGAGTGCAGTAGACAGATAACTTCTATTTTTAGCGCCTTCTTAACATCAAATTTAAGTTAAGTTTCTAAAAGGTGAGTTATTGGAGGGTTAGGCAGAGAACTTATTTGTTCCATGCTTAGCTATTATACTGAATAAGGTTTAGAAATCCAATGGCAAACATGCTCATTTAAAGGCTCAGTGTAGCTAACTTCACAAGAAAAATGAATCAATGAGATCATCTTCAGGCTTTACTGTAATTTACATAGATTTATCTATAAAAGTTTTAACCAATGACGGTGAGTTTGTAGATCAAATAATAATAATGTTAATAATAATGTGGTAAATGTTTTGAACGTAGTTAATAACGATAATTATAATGATAACAAAATAATGCACATGGCAATAAGGGTAACGAGGGTGTCAGTAATATGTGTATATGTAGCAAATTCATTAAATTAATTAGCTCAATTCTTAAAAGTTACGTAACACCAATGGTGAAGTGGACAGATAATCATAGTTTAAGTAAATATCATTAAAACACGTAGGAAATGAGAAATAAGAAAGGGTGGGAGGGTTTTGAATAGAATTCACCTAGGCTAAGCAAGGCAGAGATAAACGTAGAACAAACTTGTTTTGTTGTATGCAAAGACACTGGGATTGTTCTCTCGAATTAATTCCCACAGCTTCTTCGGCTATGTGTAAAAGACGGATCCGAATTCCTTTCGAAAGGCTCGATGGAATACGATAGTTAACTTTGACAGCTATCACCAAGTCAAATGAGTCAAAACAGAAATTCTTATCGACTTTATTTAGCCTCTAATATAAACCATGAAGGGAGATGGTAATTATCACTTTTATTGAGCTGTCTAGTTGTTCGCCCTATACTGCCAGCTTTCTCCACAGAATCAGCTAAATTTGTAGATACACACACAGAGAAGTGGCACGGCTAGGTAGCTTGTTTTTCGCTTGAGTAATCATTATTGGTCGGCAGCAGGAAAGTGACAAACGAAAGGTGGCGGCAGTATAAGTCCATTTTATTGCTTTCGGTAATCTTTGATGTAAGACTTCACTAGCCACGTCCCCATTAAATTGCAATTTTACGGATAGTTGTTCCTTTTCAGCTGTTGTCAGTTTCTCTTTATTGTACTTGGTGTTCATGTGTCCCCTGACAAGTCTCCTAAGATAAGCCATTTGGATGAGCGTATTTTGGATGTGTCCTAACTAATTTCCTAGAGAGTCATCTGTACGGGTCCTTCTTTCTCTATTCGTGAGGCGGCATTTGACTAAATTGATTTGGTATCGGATCCGTATGAAACTGAGGAAATGTGTATATTGTCCTACAGATGTAGGTTTCCTATAGACACATCTCTTTTGAGTGCACCATCCTCTCTTCTGCTCAATTGAACGCCAAGGAAATTCAGTCTACTATCATGTTCTTCCTCACAAGTGAAGATGTGCGATGGATGTGCATCATTAAATTTTATTAACATTTCATTCTTGTCAGCTTTTACATCAAGAATAATAAACGTATCATCAACATAGCGAAAATAAGAATCAGTTTTATCTATTACTTGTTTCAATGGACCATTTTCGAGCTTGTATATATATATAAACATTTCACCAATCCTATTTTTACTGACATAGGATGGGACAGAGCACAAAAACTAAGTAGTACCAAGGCAAATCTAAGACAGGAAGTGATGCATATTAGAGAAGCCTTGAAACTTAATAATTACCCTGATAAGTTAGTCAGAAAGTATGTAGGGAAATGTAAAAATAAAATAAATAATTATAGTAGTGATAGTGATTATAATAATGATAATAATAATAATAATAGTAATATTAATGACGACACCAACAATAAGGAATCTAAATCATCATTAGTAATTCCATATAAGGAAGAAACCTCGGAAACCACCTTACGCAGAATTCTTAACAAGTCAGGAGTTAAAGTGTCGGTGGCACAGTGGTTAGGACTCTCTCCGACCATGCACATGGTCCGAGGTTCGAGCCCACGCCGGCGCACACCTGATATCTATGGTCGGCCTGCAAACTTTGGGCTACCGATATCCATGCTGAAAATTCCATACTTGTACCAAAAATACGGTGTGGAATCAAGCTGTAAATCAAAAAAAAGTGTCTAGCATTCACATCACCCACAAACTCAATTAGAAACAAGCTTTATCGGAAAAATGATCACTACTGTGGAGCCTTTAAAACAAAACACTTTAGTGTATCTAATACCCTGCCTGCAATGATTGTCAGGTCGTATAAATAGGTCAAACTAGTAAAACAGGGGCAGTCAAACTAGCCGATTGGTTGACCCGAATGAGATAAGAAATCTAGAGAATAGTTCAGCTATCGTACAACGTGCGGTTACACACATCACAGCCATACAGTTTGATGGGATAAGATGACAGTTTTAAAATCTAATGGAACAGCAGGGTGGAGGGAGGGAGAGATTGATAACAGAAACTTTGTCTGTCGAATCAACTGCAAACGCATGTAATAGGAATGATTCATCACCTGTCCACTCAGATCTCTGGAGAATTCTACCACCTCTACCCCTACAAGTAGGAGAGAACAAAGAAAACTATAAAACTCAAGTTTCGTAGTCGTGTGATTATAATTAATATGATTATGAACAATAATGAATTGTGTTCAAAACTTCGTCATCCAGTAAATAATACTGTTTCATGCACTATGTGATATGCCTAATAAACAAACTAATGTGGAATTACAGGATTTTTTCATGAGCTGACATTGGTTAGAGAACCACTGGAAAACCATCAGGGAGTACTGGACACCTGTTTCGTCCTAATTTGGGGCTTTTCACAGTACGCACCTACTGGGGTTCGAACTTACTACCACAGTGCCCAAGTTTTACACACATATATTAAAAGTGTATGTCTATGTATATATATGCGTAAACTTACCTAATTGTAGAGGCGACAGCAGCTCGTCCATCCCTAGTCATATGAATAAATTTCGATCTTGGAAATATTTCATATAAATATTTTAAATAATAAAATGAAAACGGTTGTTTATGACACAGACGGTCGGCAGATTCACCCATATTGATGATAATTTCACTGATAAACGCTGCAATAGCACGATTAAAAACATGCCTATAGATACCAGCCGCTTCCAACTGGTACATATTGTACTGAGCTAACATTTTCAAGCGTAACAAAGACGTTGTCACCACTGGTTCAGGACCACATCTTACAGAAGGATGGACATCCAGCAGAATTCGCATTAAACCAGTACCTTTTTAGATTGGGAAATTTAAAATAGAGAAAAAAACGATTTGATAATTAAGATCTGGAATGGGGGGGTTATTTGAAATAATCAAAAAGATTTGTTTTTACGAGTTGATCACGGATTGATATGAGTTAGAGAACCATTGAAAACCAGCACTGGAGCACTGGACGGTCAGCTGTTTCATCCTAGCTTGGGAATCATCGGCAGTACGCACCCCACTGCCAAGGTTCGACCTTCCGTTTACAAGGCAAGCTCATTTACCATTCAGCCACTGGGACCCGATTCAATGGCTCATGAATTCTAACTACCTGATTTTCAGTGGTTCTGTAACTGATATCGATCTGTGATCAACTCGTAAAAACAAAACTAACCCTTACAAACCAAACTGTAGAAAAAATGATTTGTCGCTTAGGTGAATGATTTTGACATGGTTGTGTTATTTATTTCTGAGCTAGAGATTATTTAATGGTGCGTCGGTGGCACAGAGGTAAAATGCTCGTCAACCACACCTCATGTGGTCCGTAGTTCGATCCCCCGCCACTGACGCACTCCTTTACCTACCTAAGCCAGTAATTAAGACTGGTAAAGAGGGAAGGTTGTGGGGGCATGAGGCTAGCAACCCCAATTGCTACGGAAACTCCAAGCCTCTGGCTTGAAGCTCCATATGTTCCACTGGGAATGTAAGGAAATAAAATATAAAATAAATATTAAGACGATTGAATCACGAAACTGGGAAGTAATTGTGGGAACCCGCTGCACTCGTCGTCATCATCATCATCATCAGGAATAAGATCGAGACCGTCAACAGTAATATCAAGTTAATTTTTGCTGTTTAGTGCTACTGGAAGCTTTTTCTAAAGGTTATTGGAGATTTTCTCTGACAATTGCCCCCTGGCTGGACATTGAAGACCAGGCGGTCAGCTGATCAGAAAGGATGAACAGAAAGAAACTCTGGTATGCAGCGAACCAACCCAGAGGGAATTAATGATGGAATGAACATATTACAGAAGAGACTGTTGAGCGGTATAATGGGACAGAAAACCTCAAATGGGTTCCAGATGGGAAAGAGTTAGTTGGGTGTTAGTCCGAGGATGACATTAAGGAGGTAGTATGAGAAGATGAAAGTATACGGCTATCGTACAGTTAGCCAAAAAGGAATGCAGAGGACAAGATTATACAGCGATGTTCCGCTTGAAATGCAGGGGAGTAACAATAGTAATTTTTTTTACTAGTTGATCACGGATTGGTATCGGTCAGAGGATTATTGTAAACCAGCACTGGAGTAATGGATAGCCAGCTGTTTCATTTTAGTTTGGAAGTCATTGTCAGTACGCAGTCACTAGGGTTCGAACCCAAGACCTACCGGTTACAAGGCGAGCTAGCTTGTATACTATTCAGTCACTGGGACCCAACACGATTCAGTCGCCAGCGCATGGATTCTAACTTCTACCAATTCGTGATTTAGAACGACCCCAACCACTGTGGTAGGTGGGAAATCCATCCTCACACGTGACATCTGGATGAACCTCTCTGGTCACGACTTCTCATTAGAACTCCACCCCCAACGGCGAGTGATTCCCAAACTAGGGTGAAACAGGTGTCCGGTACTCCCTGTTTTTCAATGGTTCTCTAACTGATATCAATCCGTGATCAACTCGTAAAAAGTAATTATTATTATTTTCTATAGTTGATGCTCGCTAGTGACTTGCTACAGGATGGAGTTTTCTGGAGTTCTAGGGAGAAGTCGTGACCAGTGAGGTCCATCCAGATGACGTCACGTGTGAGGATGAATTTTCTACCTACGACAATGGTTAGGGTCGCACGAAATTGCGAATCGGTAGAAGTTAGAATTCATGCATGAGCTGCAGTGACTGATTGGTCTATGAGGTCACTTTCCAACTGGATGTACTGGTTAAAGGATTTTCATCATGATCTGACATTAGTTAGAGAACCATTGGAAACCAGCTGGGAGTACTGGACAGCTGTTTTTCCCTAGTTTGGGACTCTTCATCAGTGCGCACCCACCACTACATTTCGAAACCAGGACCTGCTAGTTACAAGGCCGGCGAGCTCGTATACCATTCAGCCACTGGAACCCAATCAAATGACTAGCCCATGAATTCCAACTTCTCGCAATCCACGATATAGCGCAACCGCTAGCCAATGTCTTCGGTGATTATTTGTCCTCACACCCGAACTGCTGCACCCTACTGGTCACGACTTCCCACTGGAAGCCCAGGTAACTACCTACCTGAATAGGGCAAGTCGCTAGTGAGCATCTCATTTATATTCAAGTGTTGGTTTGTAGGGATTTGATTGGTTACAGGATTTTCATCATGATCTGAGATTGGTTACAGAACCATTAGAAAACCTGGGTGTACTGGACAGCTGTTTCGTCCCAGTTTGGGACTCTTTATCAGTACGCACCCACCGAGATTGGAACCCAGGGCCTTCTGATTACAAGGCAAGCTCGTATACTGGGTTCGATTCCTGGTGGGTGAGTGCTAATGAAGAGTTCCGAGCACTAGAACGAAACAGCTGTCCAGTACTCCATGCTTGTTTCCCATTGGATCTCTAATTGATGTCATGTAATCAATGAAATCCTCTTAAAGCGACACATAATAACATTGTTATGTACTGGTCGAGAATTTAATAGTCCTGACGCAAGAAAGACGGAAATCAGAAGACCACTAGGTTTGCGATGATACTTCTATTTTCCAAACACAAGGAGAATCAATATGTGTCACACAAGAGTGTGAGAGCAAAAATATATGAATGTCCGAACAAGTGTGTGAACACAAGTGTGTGAGCGAATATTCAAAATGAACAAATCAATAGACAGTCTTAACATGATTGGCTAATTATAATGGAATATTGATCCATGCATACATAGCAAAATATATCAGACTGTCAAACAAAGCACACATATTATATGGATACATATCACCAAGAACAGACTGTCAACCAAAACACACATATTATATGGGTACATATCAAACATCTAAAGAATATTTCTGAAATAAAGACAAGAACGTCAACACCATTCACAGTAGATATTGCACAGTCACAAGCTAACATAATCACTGCATTCAATATTATGGAAACGAAAAGACCTAGCCGTAAAAGAAGACAAAATCAACGCCATCTATTATATAAATTGCATGAACTAAGATACGTAATGTGTTGGCCAAGGTAGGGGTCCCCTTCAACTAAGAGTCTCAGAATATAAACTGCCTATCAAAAGACACGATAAGTGTTCTCTCGTATATTAATGCATATATATATATATATATATATATATATAGAACTATGGATACCGACCAGACTGAGAAGATGTGGAACTTTTAAACAACGAAAACACGAAAACCGATGCCAAAGAATTCCTGGAAGCATGATCCTCGGACGAATCGGTGATTAACAGACACATTTACTTAGCACAGATAAACTTTGTCAACAAATAGAGAATAAGTCACATGACAAAATAGGTTCAAATTCCAAGTCAGACAAAACGATCAATACTGATGTGAATTAGCAGCTAGTTGCATGCAACAAAATTTGTCGGTAGATAGAATTATATCATTCATGGAGAATTCAAAAATGTTCATATCATATTAAAGTTTTTGCTGAAGATGTTGTGTGGAAGGTAGGAGAGTGAAAGCCTGGCGGTTGAATCATCTAGCTCAGGGAAGGCACTTATATCAAGACAGAGTTTTTTCTCAGTGGAAGACGTTTCCATGTTCACCTAGTTATCATTAGTCGGTGTAGCTCCACACCAGAGGTAACTATGTGTGACTGATGTCTGAAATACCTATGCTACTGTTTAACAACTTACTTTTGATAGGCCTACTCATATGATACAACTTATTTATTGACGATGTTTGGAGAAACATTTCTTTCTCAATATCATCACATCAGGGTACATGATAATTAGAAGCAACTCAAAATTTACAGTCAACATTTTTAGTCACTAGCTACTGAAGTAGGACATTTTCTGCTTCAAATTTAGATTTATATTGATGTCATATAGTTGGAAGTGACCAGCAGGAACACCTAGCTGTACCTAGGTATCACCCTTGTATGCTGTCGTCAGTAAGTTGTACTTGCAATCTCGAAGCAAGTGATATTATTACATTTTTGTTGTTTCCTTTAGTTCCTAGAGCAACATAAAGCTTCAGTCTCACGTCTCCATTGAGTTAGGTTCTCTGCCAATGTTTTCAGCTGATTCTACGTCTACCCACATGCTTCCATCTCCTCTTTACATCGCCACCTGCATGTCACCCCACCCTCGCACTGACGACCAACTCACCGCTTTCCATTTGGGTTCCCCTCGAACGATGACCTCGCGTGTGATGGGTGGTACCTGATGATGAATTGTTTTCTCAGAGTGTGGCCAGCCAATCCACCTCCATTTCTTTCTGCATATTTGTTGCACGATTGGTTCCTGCTGGGTTAGGTTAGTTCGTTCATTGCCAGAGATCCCTCCCTGTTGCTGATCTTTTCTGGACGGTCATCTGATCTTGAGTGAAGTACTGAGCGAAGACAGCTGCTGATGTAGGTCTGTAGTTTGTCCGAAGTGCCCTTTGTGCTACGACGCGGCGGTAAGCCTGTGATTCGTATAATAGATCATTCGGTCCTCTGTAAAACTGATTACATTTATCTCTAATCTATGTTAACCTCAGCAGTTCATTATTATAATTATTTTTCTGTTGAGTTCCTAGAGTAAAATAGGGCTTCAGTTTTGCACAGTCACATTCCACTCTGCTCTCTGTCATCACTTTAAATTTACTCCATGACTACTAAGAGGATTTCATTTTCACTCCCCTTGATCCCCTTCATATCATCCTCAAGGCTACACATAACTTTCTTCTTCCCATTCATTCTTCCTTCCCTCGACGATCTCTTCAAAGTACTTCTAATCCGTCTCCATTTCCTCCCAGATATTTACTAGTCAGTAAGTTGTTCGGAGGTTGGATCCACTGCTTACTAATTCCTTGTTAAATATGCTT